AGGACGGCCTCGAGGCCCTTGTGGTGCACCGCATACGCCTCCACCACAGCAGAAGCAAGTTCCCTTTGCCGTCGTGCGTCGTACACTTCTGTGGCAAGGTCAATGCAGCCATGACGCCGAAGACACTCGAGACCAAAGGCGTGAAATGTCTTCAGCTTCAGCCGTTGTACATGCGCTGCCATTGACGGCGGCAGCACCGTGGCCACACGCTCCCTCAACGCCTCCGCGGCTTGTCGCGAGAAACAAAGGCCTAAAATCTTTTCCGCCGCCACCCCAGTGAGAATAATGTACGCGATGCGGCTTGCCATCGTCAGTGTCTTGCCGCTACCGGCTCCGGCGAGAATTAACAGCGACGCAGAAGTGTCCTCGCAGACGGCAGCCCGCTGGGCTTCATCCAAGGCACTGACCAACCGTTCACATTCGGCAGCACATTCTTCTCCCCGCTGGGCGCCCGACACGGCGGCGGGAACTGCCACTCCACCGTCCAACCCCATGCGCGAGCAGACAACAACAACAGCAACGGGAGGGGAGGAGGGAGGTTCCTTACAAATCCGATTGCCTTTGAGATACACAAACAAACACACACCGTAGAAGCCTTCTTCGGCACACGCGCAGCGGTCCACTGAAGAACTGAATGAATGGGGAATAAAACCATCCCCCCCCCCCCCCAAAAAAAAAAAACAACAACAAAAACAACAAAAACGAAGGAGAATAATAAAAAACGGAAAAAAAGCGGATCAAACCTCATTATTGACAGTGACACACACACACAAACACAAACATGAATGCAAATATACATGCATGGAAATATGTATTTCAGGGTTTGTGTCTCTCTCTCTCTCTCTGTGTGTGTGTGTAGGGTAGGAAGGTTGAGAAGCGCACAAGGAACGATCCAATTTCTATTTTAACAGTAAAAATTATTTTTCTTCGCACCTCCAATTTTCATTACCCAAAAGGGGAAGCAAACAAGGCCAAAAAAAAAAAAAATCTCAAAGAGGAGAAGAACGAAAAACAACAACAACAACAACGGAACAAGAAAAGGCAACTACAACACATGGACCTGATCCATGCAAAGTCACTCGGAACCAAGGACATGTCCTGCTCCCCAGCGATGCCGTTGTCCGGCATTGGGGGGTTGTGCCTGGCGAGAAAACCTCGCATCTTGCGGGTGAACGGCCGGGTACAACGTGTTGACACCGGAAAAACCAACATTCGGCATCACATACCGCTGAAACCACACGGGCGTACGGAGGGGATCCATCCCATGCGTCTTGGGCAACACATCCTTACAGAAGAAAAAGATATGACCCACAACAATGCCAAGAATGTCGCCCACAATGCTCTGCCCAAGAATGAGGTGAAATGCAAGAAGAATCCATGGGAATGTGTTGGCATGGAAATCAAATCCATAGAGATTCATGCGCAGTTCCGGGTGCCGTTTGCAGAAGACCCAGCAGAGTGACATCAACAAGGAAAAGCTGGTAACAAGCATATCAAGCAGAATGCCACCCATGGCGTTCCCGAGAATAAGGAAAAGTCCCATCCATATAAAGTCCCCACCTTTCCCATTGAAGTCATACGTCTCGTTGTAGTTCAGGTACGATACAAACATGGCGACAGAGATAAGCCAGGGGAAGGAAAACCCACCAAAAAACAAGGCGGCAGTGATGAGTCGCCATAGCTGAAGTTCCTTAAAGACAGCCGATGAAAGCAGGATGTAGCCAAGTGGAACAACCTGCATTGAGGCAAGGGCTGTGAGAAGCACCACAGCAATGAGAGTATACCTCGTGAAAGGGCCTAAACTATTCAACCAACCATCAAAACTCTGCGCCATTTTTTCGTCTCTCTACTCTTCCTCTTTCTTTGTGTTCTGGTCTCTCTCTGTGTGTATGTACGTCTATTTTTTATCCCCTTTTTTTTGCAACCCAAAACTTCGCTTACTTTTTTTTTTTTTTTTTTTCTTCTCCTTTTTTCCTTTTGCTTTTTGTTTAAATTTAACCCCCTCCTTTTCAACCACATGCACATCAAACAAAAGAGAGAGAAAGCGAGAGAGAAAGAAACAGAAGGAAAGCAGTCATGCGCCACCGCAATTTTCCCCTCCCAATCTTCTTTCCCTTCTCCCCTGGAGTATTTTACATCTGCACCTTTTTCCTCTCCTCCTACTCCTCGTCGCATCCGGCAACTCGGACATGTTGTGCCCATTTCGCTATGAAAACTTCATGTCAACTTCTTAAACTCCATGGTGCATGAACACACACCCAAACCCAAACAAACACACGTGCCATGCAGATGGAACCCGCAGGAGAACAAATAATAATAAAAAAAAAAAGAGTGAATTAGAGAGGCGGCAGCTCCAACACACAGGCAAACACAGACACACACACACACAAAAAAAAAAAAAAAGAGAATAAAAACAAAAAAGCGCCTTTTCACTGTGTGTATGTGTTTGTCTCGTCCTTGTTGTTGTTGCTGGTGGATGCGGACTCTCTCTCTCTTTCCTCCATTCGCTGCTACGAGGGTCCTAATAGAGCGCCAATGGCTGCGCAGGCCTCAAATTGTGACAGCGGGAACTTATCATTGCCGACGCAGCGGGTCAAAATAATCCCAACAAAACTGAGATTATTATCCACTGGAACTTCTGCATCCTCCTCCGTCTCCAATGTCTCATTTTCGGTATCCCTCGGTACATTCAACGTTCGCCGAAAGCCCCACCCTAAAAAGTTTTGACACGCCCGGCATGCGACACAGCACCACTCGTGGCCGACGAAGAAGGAGTGCTCCGCTGACCATTGGCCGTAGAATGACAGTAAATGCCGCCGCAACGCAATCACAGCATCGCATCGCACAAGGTCAAAGCGATGGGTGGATGGATTGGTGGCAGAGTAACACCACAAGGGTGGTTTGTTTTCAAAAAGATCCAATTCATATGTGTATACCTGCGATGCCCACGCATCTGTGGCTCGATGTGGGAGGATCTCATCATACTGCGCAATAGGCATATAACAACGCATACAAATAAGGGCGGGGACAAATTGTTCCACCGTGCTGGTTTCAGATGTACACTCAGGGGCATCTTTCTCCTTCTCCTCCTCACTTGACTCCTGCGAGCTCTCTGTGCTTGTTAAGACAGAGAGCTCCATTTTAATAATCGTCGTTGAGTATATATTATATTGCTTGTATCAATAATAATATTAATAACAATACTGAAAAAAAAAAAAAAAAAAAAGAAATGATAGAGTTTTATGCCGTCTATCCACCGTACTCATACACACACAGACACACACACGGAAAATAATACATACATGTACTCCCTATTGTATGTGTGTATGCATGCAACCATGAGAGGAATGGAAAAAGAGAGAAAAGAGAAGGAGAAGATATATATATTTAAAACAAAAACAAAAAGAGAAGAGCCAACATCGCAACAACAACAACAACAAGAAACTAAAAAAGAAGGAAGGGTGGGGAGGAAACCACTGCGAAAAAACAAAGGAAACATTACATACGGGGGTTACTTCGCACAAATTGTTGAATCATGAACCCTCCCTTTCTTTCTTTATTGACATTTTAGGGAAAATTCACTGAGGCGGAGAGGAGACGGCTGGTGTACTCCGCAAGCTGCTGCATGAAGCCATCATTCGGACACGCACATAGTCGAACTTCACGCACAAAGCCAATGACTGCTTTCACAGCCTCCTTAGCCGTGCATGGGCGGCTACTTACAGTTGAATCATCACAAAAGCAGCGAAGGAGGAACGCGCAGACCAGCGTGACGGAGCGTGAGACTCCCGCAATGCAGTGACACACCACCGCCTTACCCAATCCATCCACCACCGCCCGCATAATTGCTGTGGAGACATGGAAATGCTCCCACACCGGGAATGGCGGTTCGTCCCTCCATGGCAGACACAATTTCAAATACACCAACCCCACGTCATCACTCTCCTTCCTCTCTCTATATACCCGCGCTTCCATTGTCTTGCCACCGCAAACAAACGACCCTGACTCCAGTGATTGACTCAACCATTGGGCCGTTGCCATCATCACCTCCTCCGCTGCCGTGGGAGAAGTCACGCCGCCTAAGGGATTCGAGATGCGCTCTTCCAGCTGCTCCCACGAACACACTGCGAGCCGCCGCACTCGAGGTGAAACGCCTTTTTCTCTGCATTTCTTTCTCACTGGAAGTATTTGCCGCATTTCCAGCTGTGGCATAAAACTGCACGCACATGTAGACACAATCAACAGCATTTCCTCCGGTAGAAGACGTTGATGCAATTCCCAGGTGTCCTCCACATCCTTCAGAGCCCCCAGATAAACGCGAGGAACGATGCGATGTGGCCTGAAGCTACGTGGCAGCTCCGTGTCAACCAAAGACGTTGTTGGCGTTGCCCCGCTCACACGCCCACCTTGTCGCCACCGCTGCAGATATTGTTTCAACCCCTCGACTGCCATCTCATTCTGCGGGAAAAGACACACGCACGCAAACACACACACACACACAGAAGGGAGGACTGCAGCACAAAGAAAAGAAGGACAATAATGACACTCACACATAAAAACACAAATAAACATAAAAAATAAAGGAAACGCACAGTGCGACATACATGCATATATATATATATATAGGACCGCCACAACATGCAAAAAAACCCATCAAAAAAAGGAGAGAAAAAAAAAAAAAAGAAGCTAATTGATGCGCCGTACGCGCAATACATAAATATATATATATATATATAGCGAGAAAAAGGGAGGAATGAGAGAGGGTGTGGGAAAAGACATTCACATTCAACTCTTCCTTTCCCGTCTTCTTCTTACATAACAGACCTTCTCCTCATTCAGTTCCCTTCATTTTATTTTATTTTTTGATTCACATGATTCACATGATAAACAGAAATGGTACAGGAAAAACTCGCAAAGATGAAAAATCAAGGAGTCAAGTGTCTTTTCATGGCACATTCCTTCTCTCCTGCTCGTCCTCCTCAGTCCAAAACACAACACGTTCATCTGGCAAGCAGTTCCTTGTGTTTCTCACCTTCGCAATGCACATCATCCAATTTTTCTGTTGATTCCACATTCTTGAAACCATCCGTGTTTCTCCCTTGCTCACATTCCTCCAATTCCAACTCAGCAAAGGCATCCTGACTCTCTTGCTGCGCTGGTCGCACACTTTGCAACCCGTTGCCTCTCCTTTCATTAGAACATCCCGATTTCTTCGTTCCCGGCACATTTTCTGCAAAAGAGGCACTTGATTCATTTCGCCTGTTGTTGTTGTTGCTGTTGCTGTTGGAGTAAATTAGTGGAAGCTGTGTTGTTTCCTGTGCCCGCTCCGCAGCCCCGCGGTGTTGGGGCAGCAGTAATGCACGACGACTCATAAACCACACTTCTGGGATTTCTGAAGGCTTTTGCCTTCGTTTGCCAGCGAGAATACAGGCGTAACTAAAGCCCAGACTTGTCACCATATCTTTCTCGCTCCTGCTGTTAAATAGGCCAATTAGTTCATGCAGACAACGCTGAAATTCGTCATTCTGACACCGTGTCTGTAATAACCGTTGTGAAGAAATACGCCTTTGGGTTTCATCGCGGGACGGCACATTGTCCTCCATAAACTCTTTCTTCACAGAAGATGCATTGACCATACTCATGCTTGAGAGATGATTCACGCCCCGTGAAAAAGGAATCCACTTGGCTTTTGACTCAACACTGTCACTTTCCATATTGTTATCGCTCTTATGCGTATGCCCTAGCAATGGCACCTGTCCGTCTTGTGTATCCTCAACAGGGTACTCATCATCGCGGTGTAAATCATCGGCCTTGCGATCATATGCCTGTGCGGCTTGATTTAAGAAGGTTTTACCCCCTTCACCGCCCAGGTTTATAGGGCGCAACTTTTGTTGACGCCGCGGCGCCCGGGGAGTTTTCATATAGACGCTTGTATAATGCTCGAGAAACGCCTGATTCCTAACCCTCCCACGCCGGCCACCTTCTTCGGCAGGAGGGGTCTGAGAGACATATTCCCCATTTTTTCCCATTGAAAGCAAGTATTCAGGACGTTGCTGCTGCTGCTGCTGCTGTTCTTGTTGTTCTTGTTGTTGTTGCCCGCGTTTCTGCCTCGCCGTGGGTGATGCTTTGCCATAGTGTTGTGTCAATTTCTCTGAATGCCTCGACACAGAAGCGATGGGTGCGGAATAAACTTTCTGAGGCGAAATGCGTGGGTTTTTTTGCGACAACTCCCTTTTCCTTACGGGTCGACAGTCCCCTTTCCACTCTCTCCTGGGACTCGTGGTGGGGTGAACATCTGCTCCCTTTGGCCGTTGAGACGATGCGCCCGACTCCTCGATGGGATATTCTTCCGCCGCCTCTTTCTTCCCTCCTCCGCCTCCATCCCCCTTCCTTTTCCTCCTGCTGCCGCTTCTGTTGTTGTGGTGGTTGTTTGCAAAATATTTTGGCGCCTCCGTCGGGTACTCACCGCAGGGAGGCGCCTTCTTGGGGTTGGTGGCACTCGACTTTGCCTTCATGGCGGCGGGGTCGCCGTTGGCCTCGCTGTCTACCACGTGCTGCCTCTCCTCGTTGTCGACGGGTGACACCACGGCGGAATTCGGCTTCCCTGTCTCCTCCACCTCCGCATCCATTCGACACAGAGAGAAAAAGAAAAAGAAATTCTTCCGCACTAATTCCCTCCCCCTCTCCTGCAGGAACCAAGGAAACACAAATACACACACACACACACACGCACACAACAAATAACCGGCAAAGGACCAAGCAGAAAGAAAAGAGAACAACAAGAAGAAGAAAAGAAAACTAGCTCACGCAAAGCTCAGGCTGAAGACAATGAGAAGAAGGCTCCATGCAGCCTCACACACACACACATACCGCACACATGCAGAGAAAGAGAAAGAGGAAGAGGAAGAGAAAGAGGGGATGAGGGAAGAAAAAACCAACCAACCAAACAAAGGACACACATACACACGAAAATAAAAAAAATGAGAACAAAATGCCAAACACCACTTCCTTTCCCTTCTATCATAATTACATGCCCTCCCTTACATAAACAAGTAAACATATATGTATATATATATATATACGGGGTGGAAAAAAATGTCGCTCTTGCGTGTTCCAATTCACAGTCAAAAAAGGGGGAGAAAAAAACAAACAAAAAAAAAAAACAAAACAAAAGAAAAAACAAAAATTGATGGCATGGAAGGAAAAGCGTCTGTTTTCCAACCACACCAACAAACACACGCACAGACACTGGGACTTTACATAAGAGGTGTGGGCAGGACACGCCAGCAAACAAACAAGCAAACAAAAACAAGCCAAAAGAGACATATGGGCAAGAATAGTTTTCCTGCAATAGAGGCTGCTGTTCTTTTTTTTTTTTTTTTACTTGCTATTCATACAACTTGTTGCACTTTCCTCCTCCTTCACCCCTGACACTTAGCAGGGAATTCAACCCCCAGAATTCTGCCGATGTTCTGCGACAATGTCAGCTGCCCCCCATGGACCCAAAGGTGTCTGTTCAATAGCCAACCGGCTCTTCTCGTCCATTCCCGATTCCGTCCTTCGATGCGTATCATATAAACTCTGTTTTGATTTCTCATTTTCGTCATCCTCGTCATTATCACCTTCACCATCAAAAAAGTCGTGTGGCATCGCTTCTTCGTGATCGCTGGAAATTGTCAACACATCCGGTTTCTCTTGCTCCACCGTGTTCTCTCCGTTCTCCGCCGTCGAGGGTTCCTCCTCCTCTTCGTTTTCCAAAGCCATTGCAAATCGGCCCTGCTGCGACAATTCCAGCTGGGTGGCCTCGTAGAATGTTGTGTTAATTGTCAGCGGCGGTTGTTTTGCGCCCATTTCTGTGCCGCTTCTGGCACCATTACGACAGGGAAGAAGTTGTGCAGGTTTGGGCAGTTGTGCTTCCATCCAAAGCGCAAGTGCAGTTTCGTTGCGTAGTTGCAACAGCTCCTTTAAACAATGTTGAATATCGTGGTGTGTGGTGTCCTCTTCGTCAATGCGATTTACCTGCAATACAGTTGTCGGATGCGTTCTGGCCACCACCACAGTTTCATGGTATAAAACACGGAGTTGTGGCAATGCCTCCACCACGGCGGCCACCACCTCTGGGAATAGTTGTGGTAGACCAAGCAGGTTTAGCACCTCCAAGTTACCTAGGCCGCGCAAACGATGTAAATCCGCATTCTGTATGGACGTACCTGCGTTTTTAAGACTTAATTTAATTAACTGCGGCAGTCGTGTGGCAATGACGTCCACACTGCTGCCCGTCAGCTGAGCAACCCCGCCAAGATCAAGGTCCATAAGTGTGTGTGGAAGCCACGCAAGGCTTGAATCCACCAACCCATGGCAGCCATGAAGAGAAAGACGCAGCAGTTGGGTTTGTTGCTTCATAAATGAGTTCAATTCGGATGCAGAGGCAATAAGACACCCAATAAATCCAACTGACAAAAGTTGCGGCACGTCACCAGATTCGTGTTGGTTTTCCTCCTCCTCCTCATGTTGTTGCTCCTGCTGCTCCTCTTGGAACTCCTGCTTCTCTTCCATCTCCTCATCCTCTCCCTCTCCTTCCCGCGGCGGTTGTTGTTCTTGTTGTTGTTGCTCTTCCAAAAAATTTTTTTCCACCAGTCGAGCACTGGAGCTGTGGGCTCTAAGACTCGAGGAAGGTTCGCGTTCTCCTGCACAGCCGTTACTACCGTTGTGCATAAACGCAGCAAGTGTGCCACGATCCACAACAATCCCCTTCAATATGATCTCCCTCAGTTTAGGGGCGTAGAGGTCAAATAATACATGAGATTGTGTGAGTGGTACCGGCAGACGACAAAGCTCTGGGGCATAAAGTCTTGTCACATACGCAAGAGAGGAAAAGAGAACTTCCACATTGGCCAACTCAAGTCGCTTGATAGCGGGGCAGTTTTCCAGCCGTAGCACCTTCAGCCGTTCATGTTGACTGATGTACCGGACACACGCCGTTGTAAGGCCTTCGTTTCCTGAGAGGTCAATTGTATGCAGCTGTGGGCAGGCCTCAAGTACGTCACGCACATGCGCATCCCGCAGTGCACTGCACCCAGTCAACACAAGTACCTTCACCAATGGGCCTCGGAACGTGCGAAAGAGCCCTGTGGGGTGGTCAATCCTGCAGCGACTGAGATCCAGGCAGGGTATAGAGAATTGTGGCTTCACATAACGACCTTCAGAAGAAAATTGAGCTGAATAATCCCCCAATTTACATGAAGCCTCCTCCCCTTCTTCATCCTTCCCACCAATACCACCAGCACCATCATCATCTTCATCTTCCTTATGATCCCTATTATGGGAGAGAACCCCAATGCCTTTTTGCGGCTCATTCGGTCCCAAAGGTTCGTATTTTGTCCGTATTGAAGATTTAGTTTCCACAATGCTTGCCGGGGCCTTCGTGACCAGCTGCTCTTGTCGAACCATAAATGAGAATAGCACGGCCAGGCCCTCGTCTGCGAGGGACAACTCCGGCAGAGAGAGCACCTCCACGTGGGGTGCCATAAGAAGGGCCTCGGCCAACTGCCGCAAGAATGCCACGTCCGTCAAGGAAAAGATCTCTACATGACGCACAGACTCAAGGGAGCGTATCATGTACAGCAGCACACTTGTGCTGGCATGCCAATTCTCGCACCGGAAAGAGAGAAGTTCCACTTGACAATTCCACCGCTTAGCAGACGTCAAGGGGTTCAAGCGACGACCGCCAACACGGGGCAAAGGCCTCTTTTCCAGCCTACGAATTGACGCTGCACCTGCACCTCCTATTCTTGTTCCTGCCGCTGCTTCCACGAGGACACGCTTCAACGCGCTCAGTTGGGCATGCGTGACGGGCGGGTCGACAGCCATCAGACGAGAACCATCATACAAACTGCGCAACAGTTCCATATGCGGTACGACCTCGGTACGGAAACACTCACAAACATATGAGGCCAATATATCTGTTGGTTTCACCGTATCGGCGCATGTCAATGAGCGTCGCAAAAGGGATGGGTTGCTCTCCAGACAAAGTGCCGCCGCGGAATTGGTGAGACGACGACGAGCACCCATATCACCAGGAGCAAATGAATCCGTGTTTGTACCGTAAATATTTTCCGATTTGCCGGCATCGATGTCGTACGGGGTTGCTCTCAGAGTTGTGATTATTTCCATCCGCCTGGATGGACACATGGAGAGTGACTGAAGCCCACGCAATTCAACACTCATGTGCTTATTCTCCCGCTCCAATTCCTCCACGCGTTGCTGCATACTTTGTAGCTCAGTTGTGGTCACAAACAGTACATCCCGAAGCCGTTCAATTTCGTTTATAAGATTGTTACGGTCCACCTTGACGCTGCACAAATGTTCCCGTGTCACACTAAGCTCCACACAAGTGTCCTGCAGGCGACAATGAAGGTCTGCACACTCCTCCAGTTTGGCGCGGTATCGTTGCAAAGGAACACCCCCAGACGCCAATAAATTCCGTGACGCTGGAGGCTGCTCATGGTGCTGTTGATGAGGATGGGAATAATACTGATGAAATTGCTGGCGCTCCACTGTGCAAGGTGGCAACAATGACGTGTTGGCTGCCGTCCGAGAATATGTTGCCGCATCTTTTCCTGAGGAAGGGAGTTCCACAGAGTCCTGTGTCTTTGCGGACTGAGGCGGGGACACGGTGTGTGGGCCAATTGCCGACGGGTGCGTCATCATCTGTGGCAGAAGTGGTGACTTATGGAGGGACAAATCAAACTTTGGCTCCGTCATGAAGTTCTCACTTGTTTTTTTCTGGCAAGAGGAGCAGTCACAGAGATTGCTGCTCCCTTTGCCCCAACTCGAAACCTTTACAAGCGACGTCAACTCCGCCGATCCTTTCAATTTTGTTGCTGTTGTCGTGGCGACGGTGTTCTCCGACTTAATCGACGAGGCTCCGCACGACAATCCCCCGGCGTGTAAATTCATTTTTTACCTTTTCTAATCGTCTCTCTCTCTCTCTCCTTAACACTTGCCAGTGTGTATGAATGAATGTATATTTATTGACTCATGTGACAAGCACACACACACACACACACACACCCAAAAAAAAAAAAAAAAAGGCAAGGAGAAAGAGAAAATAAAATCATCAGAATATTGAACATATCATGCCATAACCCCCCACACTTGAACAGAGCATGCCACCTCATAAACAAAAACAATAACCATATATATATATATCCACAGATGCATGCATACACCTACACACCCACAGACAGACACACACGCACATACTACCATGCAAACAAGCACAACTATGATAAAAAAACAACGACAACAACAATAAAAAACATGAATAGCAGAGAATGACGTTCAAACATGTATACATATACATATACATATTGTTCCGGTCCATTCGGTGTCTCAGAAGTCATGCAATGTCACATCGTGTTCATTGCGGGATAAAAACCCGTCTCAAAAACATTGGGTCACGTCATAAATAAATAAACAAACACACAAGAAAAACAACAAAAACAACAATAAAAAACTATAAAAGGCGATACGACCAGGGCCTAACGCAACTTAGGATACGTATGCATCCACGTAAGGCAGTATATATCTAACAATAATATGTAAATAGACCCGAAAAAAAAAAAAA